ACATCTTCTACCCCTAAAATTGAACATTGTTTACTTGCATATACATCTGCCATTTGCTTAGTGGCTGAAGGCGTTGCATCAATGAGGTCGTCTGCCAAAATTACAGAAAATGGATTATCCCCAACCACTGGTTTTGCACATAACACAGCATGCCCCAAACCCAGCGCCTTAGGTTGGCGAATAAAAATGCAAGAAACGTGTGATGGCAAAATGCCTCGTAAAATTTCGAGTAATTGTTTTTTACCGCCCGCCTCGAGCGAAGCTTCGAGCTCACTCGCATTGTCAAAGTGGTCTTCAATAGAACGCTTATTTCTTCCTGTAATAAAAATAAGTTCTGTTGCTCCACCAGCAATGGCTTCCTCAGCGGCATATTGAATGAGAGGCTTATCTACTATGGGCAACATTTCCTTAGGGCTAGCTTTGGTTGCAGGTAAAAAACGTGTGCCTAAGCCCGCTACAGGAAATACCGCTTTTGTCATTTTATTCATATTAGTACTTTCTTAATGCAATGTTACTTGTTTGCTCAACACTTGTATATGATCACTTTTAAGCTCAACATTGTCTGTAATCTTTAAATCAGGCGTATATTCTTCAACCCAATATTTTAACTCAGTTTTAATCTGAGTTTCACTGGTAGATTGTAAAATTTGTATCCAAAGCAACAGTTTATTAACCCACTCCTCATTCACTGTTCTAGCAGAGGCAATTCGAAGTTTATCGTGAGGAGTCGGTAAAGTATGTTCATCATCAGCTAATAATTCTTCGTATAGCTTTTCTCCAGGTCGCAAACCCACATACTCAATTTTAATTTCCTCTTCATGAAAACCTGAAAGTTTTATCATTGTGGCGGCCAGGTCAGCGATTTTGACGGACTCACCCATATCTAAGACAAAAATCTCACCACCTTGGCCCATCACGCCTGCCTGCATCACCAATTGTGCCGCCTCAGGAATTGACATAAAATAGCGGGTAATTTCTGGATGAGTAATAGTCACCGGTCCGCCCTTGGCAATTTGTTCTCTGAACTTAGGTATCACGCTACCGCTACTTCCAAGCACATTACCAAAGCGTACAATCACAAACTTGGTTGACTCTTTTTTATTTGGCAAACTAGTTTGTAAACCTTGGCAAACCAATTCAGCTAACCGTTTAGTCGCTCCCATTACGTTGGTCGGGTTAACAGCTTTATCTGTAGAAATTAACACGAACTTATCCACATTAGCTTCCATACAAGCCTTTGCCAATGTGTGTGTTCCTAGCACATTATTATAAAGCGCCTCCATTACATTTCCATTTTCCATCAAGGGTACATGTTTGTAAGCCGCTGCATGAAACACCACTGTTGGTTTGTATTCAGCTAATACTGTATTCACACGAGACTGATTTTTAACATCCCCTGTTAAGTAATACACCTTTACGGCAATTTTTTGATGACTAATTTCTTGTTCTAAGTTATATAGTGCAAATTCAGAAACATCCAAACATACGAGCTCGCTTGGCTGAAATTTTACTATTT